CGCCGGCAAGGCAACCGACAAAGCCGTCGGCGTCGACGCAGAGCCTGCTGCCGCCGGCACCGAGGGCGGTGACTCCTCGGCCATCGCCGTATCTGCTCAGGCGGCCACATTCAGTCAGGCAATGATGGACGCTCACACGGCCGTGGGTAAGGCCGTGGCAAAGGCATGGCTCGGTCTGACCGATAGCGCCACCACCACCACCACCACCACCACCGGTACCGACGGTGGCAACAGCGAGATCAGCACTGCCCCGGCAGGAATATCACCGAGCAGCGGTAGCACGGGTGGATCGTCCGTCGGTCTCGACGCCGATGCCACCGGTGTCTCGGCGGCCACCATCACGGGTAGTTTATCTCCGGGGTTGCAGCGTAAGAGGAAGAAAATGGTGGACGACTGCGTTCTTCCCGCTGATACCACCACATCCCAGTCGACAACAACAACAACAACCCCAGCAGTAGCAGCAACAGCTACAGCAGCAGCCATGGCCACCGAGGCGACACCGTCTACTCCAACAGCAGAAGAAGTGGCAAGAACTGTGGACACCGGAGCAACAATAACAGCAACGAAAGCCACAGCCACTGCAAAAACAACAACAATAGCCACCGCCACTTCAGCCACGGAAACAACAATAGCAACCACAGACGCCTTAGCAACACCATCAGCACCAACAACAGCACCAACAGCGGCAACAGCAACACCAACAGCGGCAACAGCAACACCAACAGTGGCAACAACAGCACCAACAGCCGCAACAACAGCACCAACAGCGGCAACAACAGCACCAACAGCGGCAACAGCAACAACAACAGCACCAACAGCGGCAACAGCAACAACAACAGCACCAACAGCGGCAACAACAGCACCAACAGCGGCAACAACAGCACCAACAGCGGCAACAACAGCACCAACAGCGGGAACAGCAATAATAACAGCAGGAACACTAGACAAATCTACTGATCTCACCCAGCAGACACAGACCGGGAAAGAAGGACAGGAACAAGTGATGGCCGACAAGGAAGCCGCTCATCTCAAAACAACTGCAGCTTCCGCTTCCTCGGGTGACAGCCAACCCTTGGGTGGCAAGCCGAGTGTTGAAGCGGACGCTTCTCGGGCAACACCACCGCTCACCACTGCTGATATTAAGTCTGCTTCTTGTGCAGTGGGGAGTAGATCGCAGCCAGATTCCACCAGCACACTAGCCGCTGTAACACCCACCACTACTGCCACAACGCAGGGACAGGTCGACACGCTGCAGTCCGTAACAACAACTGCGCGACAAGCGGAAAGCAAACCTGCAGCCATTGGCCAGCCGAGCTCGGCGAAAACGAGCAGTAAACGTGCGTCCACCGCTAAGCGTGTAAACATCGGAAAGATTAGCGGCACGTTTGCCACCCTTCCCATGCAGCATATCAAGAAAGTGGCGGCGAGGAAAAGCGAAGCGGCGAGCGAGTATTTTCCGACATCGACGTCGGCCCCTGTTGTTGGTGGTGGTCGCTCCGTGCATGCGTCACCCGCAGTGAGCTCTCCCAGCAAGACAGTAGCGGGGGTGACTGCAGTGACGACGTTGCCAAGCTCTGGCGGTGTCACCACTGCCAACAGCATCAGCACCAGTAGCACCACCAGCACCACCACCAGCAGCACCAGCAGTAGCAGTGGCAGCCTTCCTGGAGAAAGCAGTGCGTCTAGCGGTGCAAGCAGTATCAGCATTGGCACTGGATCAGGCAGCAGCAGGAGCAAAGCCACCAGCCCTGCCTCCGCCATTGGCACCACGACTACATCTGCCACGACCACCACGACAACCACCACCAGAAGCAGCAGCAGCAGCAGAAGAGAACCCACGAGCAGCAGCAGCAGTGTCACCACCATGATCTCCAGCAATGATAGCCATACCCGCAGCGTGCCCATCAGCAGTGTACCTGACAGTAACAGTAGCGATACCACTGGCATCAGTGCAAGGGGAAAATCATCATCGTCATCATCAGCAGCAGCAGCAGCACCCGCAGCAGCAGGAGTGCCAGCCGCTACGGAATCACCAATGGCAGTGGTGTCCTCGACGCCATTGACATCGAGCTTGGCACCGGCGACAACATCGACAGTAACAACAGCAGTGACAACTACAGCAGTAGAAACATCATCTTCGTCATCAACAGCAGCACAACCAACAGCAGCACCCCCAACAACAACACAACCAACGACAGTACAGCTTACAGCATCACCGCCAACAGCAGCGCAGTCAACAGCAATGCAAGCTGCAGTATCACCAAGCCTAGCAACAACAACCCCGTCAGTTAGAGCAGGAACGGCCACAGTAGCAACAGCAGCAGATGACCAGTCCACCACTGCAGCGGCAGCACCAGCACCAGCAATCATTCTCCATGATCCGGCCACCGGCAAACAGTACAACACGATCGTCGAGTACCTAGAGCTGGACAAACTGAACGAAACTCTGGAACGACTGCCGGGAGAAATGGTTGCCGAGACGATGCACATCAAACGCGAGGTAGAGCAGTTCTCGGCAGCTGTGGACGCTGCCATGTCGGAAGCAATGGAAGAAGCCCTGATCAAGCTCAACGAAGTGTCCGTCAACGACTCACCAGAACTGCATTCCGCGTTCAGCGGACGTCTGGCGGCGCTGGTCGACAACATCACGGAGCACGGCGAGCTACTTGCTGCACGTGTAGCAGACGGTCCTGCCGAGCGTCGCATGGCCAGCGCAGCTGCTGTGGACAGCACGGCTATGCCTTCTTCAGGCGCTGCCTCGGCCGGTGCAGCGCATGCTGCCGTAGCTAACACCGACGGCGGCGTGACGACAATGGCGACAACAGCGGCAAAGGCGTCTGCTTCGTCGGCCGCTTCGTCGGCCGCCTCTCATGCTCATGCAAGCAAGGCTGGCAGTGCGACTTCCCCGACAGGCGCCCGTACTGTGACTGGCGCGAGCAACGCTGCACCCTCTGCCGACAGAACCAGTAGTGGCGGCGCTAAAGCAACTGTAGGAAAGGCAGCAGCGACAACAGCAGTACCAACAGCAACCACAACAGCACCAACACCAGCATCAGTAGCAGCAACAGGCAGAGCCAGCAGTGGTGGCACGAAAACAACTGGAGGCAAAGCAGCACCAGTAGGCAGTGGCGGCAGTAAGATGGTCGCGTCGGCGAAGAAGAAGAAGAGCAAGGGTGGTGCGGCATCTTGAACGCACTGCTCGCCTTAACCAGGCTGGGGGTGTGTATTTCGTGGACATGGCTACAATCAGCTGAAAGTGGAGCTGCCATTGACATCCGTGGAGTCAGCTGATAGTGAAGGTGTCCTTATTGATGCTGGTGAAGTGAGCTGAGAGTGGAGCTGTCCTTATTGATACTGGAGCATTCGGCGTAGAGTGGAGCTGTCATTGAAACCGGAGTGGAGCACGATGAATAGCTGTGATGCCGTGTTGTTGCTCATACTGCACTGTGCTGGTCTGCGCTGCAAGCACTCCCGGCAAGCTCTCCATAACTGCACCTCTGCACAGGTTGTGTCTTTCATACCAGTCCTGTGAAGCTAGGATTGGAAATGCTCAACTGGTTTTATTCAGCACACAATCTGCTTTCCACCAGTCTCTAACACAAGCACTGGAATCTGTCTTGAGGCAGTGTAAACGCATAATTATCATCTGTTTCTCTGCAATGGCAACCCGGACATCTTTCTCTCACTACTCCACAGGATAGCATATTCGACATTGGTGTTCCCTGCCTGGAAATACACCACTACTCATGCTCGACTAGAAATCAAGCTGTAGAACACCTGCTTCTACCTTTTCAGTTCAGGTTGCTCTTACATCTCAACCCTGCCGGTTCACTGGATGAGCATCATCAGCGTGTGCTCCAAGTGTTTCCATGCTCGCCTATACACTAGAAGCTTAAGTACTGTTTTCACAGCAGTGCCTGCCAACAGTGAGTGCTCTTTGCGAAGTACTGTTTTCACAGCAGTGACTGCCAACAGTAAGTGCTCTTTGTGAAGTACTGTTTTCACAGCAGTGCCTGCCAACAGTGAGTGCTCTTTGTGAAGTACTGTTTTCACAGCAGTGCCTGCCAACAGTGAGTGCTCTCATGCAACATCACACTAGACCCTGGTTTAGAAATGAACCTGGCTGGGCGTCACAATGTTCGCGCTCGGACATAGCATCGGCGTCTCGGTGTGCTTGGTGACATTGGTGGGTGAGATAGTTTCGTGAGGTGAGTTGACTAAGCTGTGATAACTCTCAGTTTGAGCAATGGCGGCATATTGAGCTAGCTCACTGTTTTTTGTTGTTGTTTTTTTTTACGAGAAACCACGAACCTCGAGAACAGAATACTGCATGATAGAGGTGGTTTACTGTGTCGCCGTTGATCCCGCTCACGTTCCACATAGCACAGAAACATGTTGGAAATGTGACGCCATTACTTCACTGAATGGATTCTCATGTTTATCATTATGTCATCCTGTCTTGTGTATGAGGTCATTGTGATGATCTCTGGGTATGCAGTGACATGCTTCTCTACACACTTCCGTTGATTGAGTTAGCTTCCAGATGGCTAAGATGATTATTTTGCCTTTCCGGGTCTCGTGCAAGGATCTAGCGTTGCTATGACGTTGGCATGCACTGGGTGCACAGCACCACTCAGGCATGCTCATGTGCATTGTGCAGGCTGCAGGGGTTTCCCCCTGGCATGTCCATGACGTCATGCCTTTTGATATTGACTTCGTCATGAAATTGAATACGGAGCCCGTTGGGAATCGTCATATCTATCCAAGACTGAGAATTTAATTTGAAGTACTGAAGTATTTCTTGCCGGTTATCGCCGTTAGTTGCGATTGAAACTATTACTTTTAGGGAGCGTTAATTCCTGGCCTTCATGCTCATACATACGTCAACACTTTCTGCTGGGTCTTGTTACGCGAAAGGCCGCGTGTTCCTTGGCATGTTCTCCACATTATTTCGTTTATTCTTAGTTTCTAGCTTTTTTCCTTTCCAATTTCTACATTTTCATTCTCAAAGCGCCTACACATTGTACACGATACACTGCTATCAGCGATAGTCGCTTTTTTACCGAAACTCTTGCAGTTGTTTTAGCCTTAGATTTAAATTTCCAGCTCTTCCTCCCAGCTATGTTTTATGTCACTTCACTCCAATTTTCGAGGTTTTTTTACCCCATCTTTGTTTCCTTTGTGCTTTGCGAGCTTGTTCTAGCGTGAAAGCAGCATCAAGTGGATGTCAAGACCGTCAAGATATGCCGAATACATGTAATAGACTATCAACATTATTGATATGTATGCAGTTAGTAGCAGGATAACTAGATACATGTAAATAGGTGGGGGGGGAGAGAGAGAGAGAGAGACAGAGTGACCATGTCTCTGTCCGTCCGTCCGTCTGTCTGAGACAGGCGAGGAACGGAAGCAAACAGCAATCGAAAAGGGGTTTTCAGAGGACAAGATTTTTTTAGAAGCAAAGAGGAATGTATGGTACATTGATGAAGACAAAACTGATTACCGATTCTGGTACAGTACATTTCTGACCGGACTATTATCCAGCACAGAGCACCTTATTTTCCAGATGGAAGAATTGGACGAAAGCACCTTCCAGATGGAAGCATTGGACGGAGCACACCACCAAAGTGGCCGGACGTTTTCAGTGGCGTAGAGCTCGCCAATTAGGCTCTCAGTCGATTCCCAGCACTCAGGCGAAGGCACCAGATAAAATTTGACTGGCTTCATTGGCTATTCCTCTGGACACCTTCCTCATCGTCAATGAATTGATACGGTCTCCGCTTTCAGGTGTGCCCTGAGCGTCATCACCGCCTAATCCTTCACTCGGCTTCAGTAGCCTGCTTGGACTCCGAACCTTCACAGTCACGTGAGTGGGACGCATTGCTGCTCTCCAATGAATCACTACTTTCACCGCTATCAGGTGTGCCATGAGCGTCATTCCCCACTCGTTCTTCAGTAGCCGGCCAGGTGACGGAGCCTTCACAGCTGTGCAGAAGACGCGATCTCGATGCCCAGTGTGGCGGCCGCGTCCGTCGTGGGAGTCGAGTCCAGGACTGAGGTGTCGTCCCCCAATCGTCGTCCATTGGATGCCATCAATCCGTAGAGTGACTTCGACTGAGTTGGTAGACTGCGGGACGTGATCCGAAGCGGCCAACAAATTGAAGTGAAATTCAGTCATACTAGACGTTCCCTTTTATTCCTATTCATGTAAATCGATCTCGAATAATATCGATCGTGGTGTTATCTGCGCGCGCGCGCGAGTTCTCACCTACAGAAGTGGTAGGTCACAGTGTTATAGCCTCTCAGTTATGAGTAGTAATTTCCACACCTGCTCGTTACGTGGCCGAAGTTGGCTAATAAAGTGAAGAAAGCAGAGGACTGCTGTGTGAGTAACATGCGTCATTACTTTAGTAAAAGACGTTACTTCAGTAACGTCTGGCGCTAGCCAGGGTCCACACAGCTTTAATTTGGTGTTTGTGTGTGGCAGACGGACCTCCGTCTGACGCTATCGCGTACCTGTCCCGTACAATCAAGAGTACCGTACCATCAAGAGTACCGTACCATTAAGAGAATGAGTATGTATGCGAAGTGTATGGGGGGAAATCCGAATGGCCGATAGTGCAGTGCATCGAGCATCGCCCCTACATGGCTACTTCCCCTTGTCTAACCCCCAAGAGGAAAATTAATGATAGTAGCAGACTGGCCGAAATAAAATAAAAAATAAAAAAAAGCATTCAAGAGTTGCGCGCGTAGTGTAGACACGATACTGGTGAAGCGAGCTAAAGACAGAGCTCCTTGGAATGCATGCAGCTGCGCAGGGCGATAGTCCAGTAAAAACTTATAATTATTTATAATATGTATGCGAAGTGTATCGGGGCAATGCATCCAGGGCGATAATGCAGTAACGTCTGGCGCTAGGCAGGGTCAGAAGTGTAATGCAGTAACGTTTAGCGCTAGCCAGGGTCCACAAAAACTTATAATATGCGAAGTGTATAGGGGGAATACTGTCGTACCCAGATACACACATTCAATCCCTGGCTACGCTTTGGAATTGTTTTCGTTGCCTATGTCCTCATCTCTCTTCGTTTTGTTTTCTCTGTGCTCTCATTTATCTTTGCTTGCTTGCTTGCTTGTATTGCTGAGGGAACATAATGCTGGTTTGTATTCGTGGGTCCCCATGGTGCATGGGCCACGCGTACTCATCCGGCGGATATGTGTGAATAATAATAATAGAGGGAATGCATGCAGGGCGATGGTGCAGTAACGTCTGGCGCTAGCCAGGGTACACAAACACAGTGTACACGTGAGAGTTGTTATATCGAGAGCAGACCACTTTATGACTAATGATTTACATACACAACCTCGGGGAGCAAAAGTCTCCATAAGCTGCCACATACCAACTAAACACAAAACCATGCACTTCAAACGACCTGACTTGCACGCGTGGCCCTTTTCACGAACCCAGACAAAAGTGCATGGGGGGAGCCAAAGCCGGGATCC